ATGGAGTAACTTTCTTATTCACCTGGGTATGAAGAACCTTAGATTTGTATGTTAGGTCTGATTGTATGAACCCAAGTACAGATTCTATGATTTGATTATATTCAATTGAGGTTTGAATTGTTGAATGGCAGGAATCCTGATCAAATTCCTGTTATTTCTGCTCTGACCTAGAAGGAGAATATCTGCCTAGGTTGATAGAGCATCCTTGATTGAAGGTTGTGAATTGGCGACTTTAGTCGAGGAGTCAATACATTATTCTGTACCGGATTTACTTCGGTAGTGGAGGTTTGGTTCGTTAGGGCCTCAATCTGTTTACTCCGGTGGAGGTTAGTCTCCCGCTAGAGACTCAGATTGAGAGGGTCTGGAGACCTTTAGTCGAGACTGCAGACTGTTTAAGAACCTCCCGCAGTATAACTATCATTGGAATTGAAATTGGTAAATTACAATCCGGCTTAACTGCAGTCTAGGGGGAACCATATCCGGGTGACCTCTCTCGACTTGAAAACAACCTTTTTACTTGCTTTGCCTGTTTGCTTGTTTCAACTATCAAGGACCATTTCAAGCCCTCTGCCGCCCCGAGCACGAGCAAGATGAGTTTGAGGGGAGCCGCACCAACGCGGTGAAGCTGAGGATCCTCCACACTTTGATCACCCGCTCGGTCGTCCCCAGCCTCCAGTCAGGCCATCTAATGACGAACAGAGGGATACTTGCCCTCTACTCCATGAGGAGTCCAGTGGAGCCGATCCATCTGGGATCACTGATCGCCACTTCTTTCGCCCACCGTTTGGGGCAGAACGGAATGGAGACCATGCACATGGGGGGCCTCATTACGAGGATGTACTGACCCTTCCACGTGGATCTGGCTCGGTGCTTCATCATCGGGAGAACGGAACCCTTACCGGTGGCGACCCTTTACAACTAGAAGTTGGTACTCCAGGAAGAGCAAGGTGTGGAGTACCTCGAGGGACTCCGACCATCAGGAGTCATTAGAGCAGCAGTCAACCCGGATCTAGTGGAGCCTGATCCAGAGGGCCCTCCAGCAGAGCAGCCACCTGCTCGAGCACCCGGCCGTCGTCGGCGTCCCGCGCTCCAGCGCCCAGTCCAACCACCAACACCACCACCAGAAGGTGATCCCCTCGTCCTGAGGGTGGATCACCTAGAGACGAGGTTCGTGGAAGTGACTTCCCGCCTTGACCGGCAGACCGACCTCCTCGAGCTGATGGCTCGACGCTAGGGCCTCCTTCCAGATGAGAGGGAGGGTTCATCCACCCGCGAGATGTAGCCGACGAGTGAGATATGTGGCAGAGACGATTTCTTTCGCCCCACTTCTCCACTTGTAACTCTGAACTTGTTTTTGTTATTTTCCTTTCTTTTGTGTGTGTGTGTGACTATAAACTATTACTATCGTGTTGTGTTTGTAATAAACTCGCCTCGAGCGAGTTGTATTGTGTTTGTGTGTGTGTTTTTGTCTCTCCTTGAAGCTCCAAATATCCTACCCCAGAATTGATTCCAACTTTCACTCACCAAGCCCAAGCGGTAACATCATTCTACCCCTATCTTACGCCATTGAGGGTAATGTCGAGCTTAAGTGTGGGAGGGTAGTTTACTATTATGCTTGTGTGAGTGTGATTCATGCTTGGAGCCTTGATGTATGCCCAAATTTGAGGGCTCCATGAAATGTTTGCATGATCAAATTGGCCGGTTTGTGGAAAAATCTCATGTTTAGTGGCATTGATCTTGATTTGTTGCATGTGATCGAGTATAACCTATGATGATGACTAAGAGGTCCATTAGTATAGTGCAAAAGTTTAATTCTCATGTGTGCATAAATGAATGGATGTCTTCACTCGATTACTTGTTGACTACAAGTTGCCATGCATTGTGTTTTGTGAATTGGAATAGATGGTTGGGTGACTAGGTAGCCATGTGAGCTTTGAGTCGATCGTTTTCTTCTTGTGTGCTTAGATCCCTCTTACCATGGCGAGTAACATCACAGTTGTCACTAGTGAGTATGATGGAGGCATAGGATTAGTCCACGCCCAAATGTTGATTGTCCTGGAATGTGTTATCCACTAGTCAACCCCTTTGAGCCTTGTGACTTCGAGGGTCATTCTTAAAGTAGGAGCTTCATGCTTGTGAGCTTAATGGTGTTGATAGAACAACCCCCAATCCTTTCTTCGTGTCTAAGCATGATTCGTCCTTGTGTCCCGGAGCTCTCACTTTTGAGTTTCCATAGAGGTTCTACATAGGAGGTTTGTGTGAGGTTCTTGATAGGAATGGAAAAGGAAGTGTAGTGTTGGAGTGGGTTATTGAAAAGAGAGCAGTGATCATTAAATGTATAGGTGGAAAAGGACTCTATTACCCCCCCCCCCCCCCCCCCCCGGACAGGTGGTATGCTTGCCACCGGGAAAGAAGTTGACGAAAGAGTTGCCGACGCACGAGAAGGAGAAGGAAGCAATTTCACAGACGGAGCAAGGTAGCTGAATTGCATCGCAGGCGGCACAAATCTTGCGGGAGACGTTGCGATCGCCTGCCAATCCAGTCACCGTGACGAGGAAAGTCGGATCAAGTTTGCTTCCCAGTTACAGAATTGGCCGCGCGCCTTTAAAGAGGGAAGAAGAGGCGAAGGGAAGAGAAGAACCAAGGATGTCGGATCGTCGCCGAAATGAATCATCGGTCGTTCCAGCCGCGACGATGAAGGCTGGTGAGGCAGAGCATGACATCAATCGTGGGATCTCTGCGTCGGAGCCTCGAATAGCGCGAAGGAAGCGGCAACCCGTGGCAGGTTCCTTCGCCTTGTCGACCGGGAGGAAGATGAAGTCGAAGAAAGAAGCAGAGCCCCAGTCGTCGGGGAAGAAGGTGGGCACTCCAGAGCCGCGAGTTGAGAGGGGGAAGCCTCGATTGCTGCCGGAGCCATTCGTGGTGACACCGCCGGACAAAGGAACGACGAAGGCAACGAGTTTCACGTTCGGGGAAAAGGTTTTGACGGAGGACTAGGCGGAGTATGGCTGCGGGGCATCTTGGATGAGGAAGAAGGATGCAGGCGGAGTTGAGCTTCATTACGAGACGCCGAAGAAAGTGGAGACGACGGAGGCTCCTGTCGAGCAGTTGGTGGCGTCCCCTGTTGTGGACGACGAGGAGAAGATGCCGCCAAAGAACCAGTGGAAGAGGAAATCGATGGAGAAGCCGGCGACGAAGATTGAGAGGTCGCCGTCGGAAGGAGAAGCGAAGTTGTAGGCGAAAGGAGGCGGCGATATTATTCTTGTCTCCAACCCGAAGTCGTCGCCGGTGGAGAAGATGAGGAAGCGCGCTGCTGCTGGAGGACGAGACGAAGGAAGACGGCAGCAACGGTAGTCTTCTTACAACTCTAGGCTGCACCATCCTGCAGGCCGAAACTGTGGGCCGAGCTGCTGATCGGGTCACTCGGGCGGGTTGGGCCGTCTCTTCTGACGGGTTAGGGCTAGGGTGGGTAACCCTTGGGCTCGTCTAGGGCATGGGCACAGATCTGGATGGGCTGAGTCAAGTGAGCCCAATAATTAAGGAGGGTAATCTAAGCCTTGATCAGAGGCGGGCCCAGAGGAAGGAGCTTGTTGGGCTTAATTCGGGCCAAATGAATAAATTGAGTAGGCCACCAATGGGCTATCTTGTTGGGTTTATTTTGCAGGGCCAAAACATGAAGGAAGATGGTGGCCTCATTAAGTTAGAACGTGGGCTTTCAGGAGGCTTTAATCCAACCTACTTGGAAGAGAATGGAGCCCAAAAGAACTTGTTTTCCTCACCAAGCACTTAGGGAAATCAATGGACCAATTCATTGAATATTTCAAGGTGGGTAATGTGGATATGCTCAAGGAAGAACAAGTCTTTGACTCTTACTTTGTGGAGTTTGAAAAGGAGGTTTGGGAGTCGTGTGGCCAAGGTTGTGACATGAGCCCAGTGGGTAGAGAAGAAGCAATGGAAGTCGAAGATGTTGGTGTGAGATGCGTTCGAGTAGTGGAGCGTGATTGGAAGAAAAGAAAGTGCAGGAGATGGAGGAGCATAGACGACGTTTGCATGGACGACATGAAGAAGTGGGTCGAGTTGGTGAACATTGAGGGCAAGGTTGGTCTCAAGGGGGAGGGGATGATAGAAACCTAATTTTTGGTTCTATCATAATCATCATAATTACTATTATTATGATTTTATTAGATATGGTTAGTAGTCTTTGAGTCATATTAGGATAGTTCATTAGGTTTTCTAGATCTTTAGCTATAAATATGTACTTTGGGTTATTTGTTGGATTAAGCAAAGATTAATAGAAGAATTATCTTCCCAAACCCTAAGCTCTCTCTATCTCCTAATTTCAATCCTTCCCTAATCCAAGGCTTCGGCCGATTCTTATTCTCTTATTTATCTTTCCCAAATTCTCGATCTCAATCCCTAATTCTATCCTCAAATCCCTAAATTCCCAATCAACCAACGCTATCGATAGAACCCTAGAAATAGGTTTCTATCAATGTGATTATATGTAAGAAAGTGGTTAAGTACCATACATGGGCCTGTATAAGATCCAGCATAACCGTCTCTCAACAACCCGAGTTATTGGGAGCAACTGGTTTATGACATGATATCAGAGCAGGTTTGTCCATGAGGTCACGTGTTCAAGTCCTCACGACCCCCAATATTAACCGTTATCTTTCAAGAACATGGCATGACAGCCCTATGCAAACTTCAAGCCCATGAGTCCGTAACAAATGGTATCATAGCCTGGTTAGGCTGAAGAACCTAGTTCCTCTCTCAGTAATGCATAGGTCGAGTATGGGCCGACCCTATGCCAGAATGAGAGGCGTTCATGGGTGTGCATCAGGCGATCCAAACGCAGATACACATGTGTTGCGCCATTGTGGGGGACCTCGATAGGCTAAAGATGCAACGGCCGAGAATGTCGTTCAACTGAGGAACTAACGCTAACGAGAGCGTAGGGTGAAAGTCTAGGCCTGTATAATATCCAGCATAACCTTCTCCCAAAGACTCGAGTAACCGAGTTCGGGAATCACCGATGATATTCAGGGCATGTTTTGAGACTCCAGATATGGGGTCGGCGTGCACTGCCAAATGGCTACATACAAATTGCCAACTTAACTGTCTGTTGTTAATAATCCCCTCTCAAAGAAGTTTACATGACAAGCCAGCTCAATGTAACCAAACTGAGAAGCATGACAGACCATCACTACCATATTCGTGGGACTGGATTGCTTATTACTTGAACACAGCACATTTCATTCCTCCCCACCTTTGTACCTTCCGCAATAAAATAGCAAATATTTCCCACCCCCTGATACAAGTTTCTATGACTCCTGTCAATCCATTCATCACTAACGGTGATCTGGAAGAAAACTGTGGTCGTTGAAGCTTTCATTGCCATCAGATTGCTTCACTTGGCTTGGGATCCGAAAATGGTTTTACAAGGCAAACGCCTGTTGTTGTACATTGTTGGTTGTTGTACTTTTACACTGCCATGTCCGCATCCTCATCTCGGGGAGGTCGCCATTTCCGGTCATAGAAACCTGGTTCAACTGCATTCTGCCTTTTGAACTTGTCATCCTCGGTCTTCAGCCTTCCATCAATTAGTTCCAACAATTCTTGCAAGCCCACTCCTGTCAGAGCTGATATCTTCAGATGGGGACCTTGCTCAGCTTGTGTTTTCAAAATCTTTTGTGCCGTGGTCAAGTCGTTTGATGCATGGCTTTGTTCTTGGCCATTCAAAGACTCTAGCCATTTGTCTTCCTCCATCTCCTGGTCTTCTTCCGACAACAACCATCCATCAGAGAGAGGATCTTCTTCCTCTATTTTCAAGCCCTCTTCCACACATCCTTCCCCATCTTCCACACTTGTTAGACTACTGGTTCCGGGGTCTTCTTCAACAGAGGAATGGCTAGCATCATCATTAGCATCATCATCATATTCTCCTTCATCAAGATATCTACCAGCATCTAACTCCTCATCTTCATAATCGATCTGAACAGTAGAGAGAATTTATCCAACAATGGACTTCCGTTATCAAATTTTCAATTTCCATAAAGAAAACAGTAAAGGACAAGTTCATAGATGGTGATTACCTTGTTCCAGACCTCAACCATATTCTGAAGCTTCTCTTCAGACACTCCAATCTGTTGAAGAACTTGCAACACTGTAGTGCGATGCTCCTCCAGATTAGGAGCTGTGCTGTCTATTACATGCTGCAGAGATAACACTATCATTAGATACATAAGTTGGAATCATTTCAAATGAGATGCTAGAAAGTGTCTGTGAACCAAACGTTGATGCTCATGCTCTACATTTTCATGACTATGCCTATATAACAATTCTCAAGGCGAAAATTTCATTTGACAACTTGCACCACAAGGCAATCAGAAGGAAACATGAATAACCAATCCAGACTTGTAGTACACCATAGATATAAGGGTTAACAACTTCAGCAATCCGGTCAAACACTTAAACGATCAGGTCGACCAGATTGCCGTTATCACTGGATTTCAGTAATCAAAAGTTTCTTCTTTAGCCTCAATGACTGAGTTTCCACTCCAGTCTCATTTCTTGGCTTCTCTTCTTAGTAGATGTATCTTTTCTTTAGTAGAATATATCTCTTAAATTTTTTTGAGTTTCTCATCTTAATTGATGCTCTATGTCATATAGTTTGCTGCAAATGTTCCGCACTTCAAAATCAGCATTAACGTACCAAGAACTTGACAATGAAATGCAGAATAAAAACAAACATAAACCAGATCCTTTAGTCGGAGAGTAACGGTCTGTCTCGGGATACTAAAGAACCAAATGCTGTTGACTTACCAGAAGGAGGTCTGCTTCAACAACTTCTTCCAAAGTCGCATGGAAAGCTTGAACCAACTGTGAAAGATGAAAGCAGGAGTTGATAAATCCAAGAAGGAACTTGATCCCTAAATTAATGCAGGTTACTATTCATATATGTCCTAGTTACCTGTATAGGGAGATCAGATATGAACCCAACAGTATCACTAAGAAGCACCTTCCTCCTGCATATTTTGCTTTGTAAAGTTAGTCAGGTAGTGTCATTCTTACTGTTGAATGCAGAAGGTGAAATTGAGGAAAGGACTCACAATTAAAGAACCCACAGAAAATCTCACCCTGAAGGAAGAATCACGCTTTTTAGTCTTGGATCTAGTGTTGCAAACAACCTAAGCATATGACAAAGCACAAGTTTAAGTAAAAACCAAGGCACATAAACTTCATTCAGATTCACAAGAATGAAAGAATTGTCAGCAATATGAAGTCCAATCATAGTGGAGTATTTAAGAGAATAGAAGTACCTAGAATCACTATAAAGGTCACTGTTTGAAAGGGCACTAACCAATGTAGACTTCCCCTGCCAAATGAACAAATTACGAGTTTAAACAGAATGTTTATGACAAATTCATTTGAGTTGACAGTTTCAGTTTTAATCCGATACTGGTCACATACAGCGTTTGTGTACCCTACAACAGCAACAGTAGTTAAACGTTGATTGCCAACTGCACCATGCCTCTTACGAGCAGCACGATGCAAAGCTCGAGTACGACGAACCTCCTCAATCTGAGACAGCAACCGGCTTCGGCGCTCCAATATTCTGGTAATCAAAGGTCCAGGGAAAAAAAAATTAATCAAGTGCATAGATGAATAAACAATTACTCAGTGGCACCAACAACAACAGAGGTAACCCTTCCTGAAGCCATAGATGATGACTACCAAGAAGTACAGTTTGAAATGGCAAAAAAGCCCCACAACCCAGGAGCATTAACTTGGCAATGATCTTGGAAAGACCAACTTATTTTCCTTGTTAACTCCTTCTCATCTAATTTTTTTCCACCCTTTCCCACCAAACACCCCCTACTCTCCTCCCACAGATTAACACGGAACACTATTCAATTGAATGATTTGACATGGAAAACAAAGTTTAACATTCAGTCAATCAGACTTAGGAATCGCATAAACAGAAAAGATAATAGAGCAAGTATCAAACCTTCTGCGTTGAAGATGAAGTTCGGTTTCTCCTGCACCACTCATAAAGCCTTGTCCTCCACTTCCTCTCCTATAAACACATAGCAGTTTTTCGCATTATTGTTGAACTAAATATGTCTGAAAGATTCAACGGAAAAAAATATGTCTAAAAACAACAGAAGCAATTGCACATTTCTTAGTTATTTGAAATGTGCATATCTTCCTACAATTGTCTACACTAATACAGCCCTAGAACCCTTATAAAATGTTGGCACTTGCTCAAATTTCGAATTTGAATACCCTGTAAAGAATAAAGATCATGGAAAGCCTTCCGCAATAATGTGACACTACAGAAAACTTAGAAACAGAGGGGAAATAAAAAGCGAGTAACCAGAACTACTGGAGTATATTCATGTTACTATGACATGACGTATTACACATTCGGGAACAATAATCCCTCAAAGAATTTTGAAGCGCACTGGTTTTCTTATATTAAATCATGAGCAACATAGCTGAACTATCCATCTGTAACAACAAAAGCTATTGGAAATTTTCTCTTATAATTTTTGTGTCTTCCATGGAACTCAATCTGAATAATGAGCACCAATTGCATAGCATAATGAATGGAGTTTCTCTGCATGAATGGACTAGAAAAAGTCGATCTAATCAAACTAAAACGTGTGACTCCGTATCTACAAAATCACCTGCAAGTAAGTTAATGGAGAACTCCCCAAGTTTCCTGGCATCCTACGCATAGCAAATGAAAAGTTGAGGGAACTACTGACCCTCGAGCGCTAACAACCTCAGCTTCTCCACTTGCTCCAAACGTAAAGCGACCATCAGCATTTCTCGCACGAACTAGCCTACTTTTCATGTACATAAGAGCTGCTAATTCAGCCTACAAAGAACTGAAAACATCAGGAAGAATGGGGGGGAAACCGACAAGACCAGACCAAATGAGCATAGCTTGGAAAAGCTCTGTGCTTTAAGCCACCTGTAGCTTTGCCTCCCTTGTATGGGCGTGAGCGTTAAAAATCTCTATGATAAGACCAACTCGGTCTAGCACAGGCTTCTCCCAGGCACGCTGCAATCATGAACATTCGTGATCACTGAAGGCTATTTCACACATTCATTCACCTCTAATGGAACTACCAGCAAACTTTGTAAGAACCAACCTCCAGATTCCTTTGTTGTACTCCACTTAAAATAGAGTTTACAAACACGGCATCCACTTCATCCCCCTGTTACAGTCATTTCGCAAACGGTTCGTTACTTTGTTGGAAACTCAAAATCATATTGAGATGAGAGGAAAAAAGAAGCTGCTTGCCTTGGTCTCAGAAGCATTTAAATGAATCTTAATATCTTTAACCGTTCCAGACCCAAAATAAGTATCTGCAAAATGTCAAACTCCCCGGAAAAAAACTGTTCAAATCAACAAAGAGATAACATTTTTAACCTAGGTCTAGGAGTGAAAGAAGAAGAGCAATTGAAGAAACCTGCATGAGCGCTGGAGGATCTGAGAATTGGGTTCTGGACAATCACATGGGGAGGGAGTTCTTTATCGAAGAAATCAGTTCTGAAGTAGCCTTCACGCTGCTCCTCCAGGGAATTGGCGAGGCAAAGGGCTTCATTGAGCTTGGCTTGGAGGAAAGTATCAGGGCGCAGACGGGGCTGGACGACGAACAGGCGAGGAGGGCTGTCCGGGTCCCTGTTGAAGAGCGAAACGGCATCGGGAGTGTCTCCGTCGTCGCCTTTGCTCCGCTGCTTGGAGGAGAAGGGCGAGGAGAGGAGGGAGAATACGGTGGCAGATGGGGCTGCCGGAGACCGGAAGGAGGTCTGTGTTAGGGCCTGAGTCAGGCGGGATTTCAGTGAGAGGGCTAACATTTGAGCTTTGCCTGATTGGGGTAACGGCCGTCTCAAAATGGAGCAGCAAGCAGCGTTGGGCGTGGCTGTGGCGGTGGCGGGAGAGAGTGTTAGAAAGGGCGGAGTGTGGGGTTTGGGCTCTAGGACCGGGATGTGGCTGAACTGGACTGGGCCGCGAACATCGCCGCTCCTGCCCTGGACTATCTTCGTTTTCCAAAATCGACAGTTTTTGTTTCCTTCAGATTTCAGAATTTGTTATTTATAGGGTTAATAGCATTTTGTACGCTAAATTAACAAAAGTATCCTTCTACTAATTTTTATACAAACATATCCTTCTAGGCCTAAGTTTAGGTCCTTAAACCCATTTTTCTAACGAAGATCTTAAAGTGTTGTGATTGGCTGATTTAATTTTAGGTAGTTAGTATGAAGTTATTAGTTAATTAGTTGTTAAGGGTATTTAAGGAATTGTAAATAATTAAAAAACGTAACCCTAACTGTCTATAAATCCTCGGCATTTTTTTTTCCTCACCCGCGGCCGAACCTTTTCTCTTCTCGTCAAAGGACGTTCTCCCGCGATCGTGTCCGCTGCAGCCGCCGACCGTCCCTTCTGCTTCCGCCAGCTTGTCTCCGCCATCCACTCCCAGCTTCTGTGTCCACCAAGTTCTCGTTTCCACCAAATCTTAACCCCCCAGCTCTTCGACAGCCCGCTCCTAGTCTTCACACAACGCCTAATGGTTTGGATCTGCGAGAGCTCCAAGCGGCCCGACTGTCTCTATCTTCCAGCCTCCACCCTATTCCCAACTGCCATCCATGAATACGGGTAGCAAAGCTTGACAGGAGTCGACTACCAGGTTTTTCTCTTTCCCAACTTTATTCGTCCTTTCATGAAGATGGATACTCCATTGGGAGTTTGTAATATATAGCTAAGAAAAGTTGTTATCTTGTTTATATAAACATGTATTAACGTTTTTGGGTTTTGTTGAATAATGACGAGATCTCGTTAATAAGAGTATCATAAATGTTACCAATGATGTCATAAAGTAATAGCACGATCACCTATAAATCGTTGATCATTTAATTGCTAGCATTTAGAATCGTTCTTGATTTACGTTAAAAATTGACGAGGTATAGTTAATAATGGTTTCGTAGTTAACATTTTCACTTGTACACTTATCCACACGCAAATGTATTTCTTTGTCAATTATTAACAAACAGTGACGTTATTAATAATTATACCATTTCAAATTATTAAGACACCATGAGGTTGAAGCTTTGCATCGGTATTATGTCAACAAACTACGTTATCTATGTTTTAACCTACATTATTAACATATTTACTTACGTTATCAACATTTTCAGCTACGTCGTTATTATTTTAACCTGCGTTATTAGCATTTCACCTATACACTTATCCACATGCAAATATATTTCTTTGTCAATTATTAACAAACAATGACGTTATTATTAATTATACCTACTCGAATTATTAATAGACCACGAGGTTAAAGCTTTGTACAAGTGATAATGTCAACAAACTACGTTATCCATATTTTCACCTACGTTATTAACATATTTGCTTGCGTTATTAATATTTTCAATGGTTATTAACATATTTTCACCTACGTTATTAACATATTTACTTACGTTATTATCATTATAAGAAAAGTTAGTAACATCATCACCCAATTCAGTTATTAACAAACCAAGGTATTTCATGGATGATTAATCGATTATTAACAAACCATAAAGTTATTATCAATTATATTCCATTTAATTATTAACACACCACGAATCTACAAATTGCAGCATAATGGATTATCTATATTTTCACCTACGTTATTATCATTTCCCATTACGTTATTAACATTTTCAATGGAACACTTTAATACCAACATAAGCCAATATATAATAACCAAATGAAATACACACAAAAAGCTTTCGACGATTCCATATGTCGGGTATATAGTCCACTTTGTCGATCGAGACGTCGGCGGCCAGGTTGCTTACTGGAACACGACGAAATGGCGTCGTGAGGATGGGAAGCCGACGAGAGGAATCAACAGCGCGACGACGAGAGGAATCGACGGCGTTATGGAGACTTGACGACGGGAGGAATCGATGGAATCGACGCCGCGATGGCAAGGGGAATTGACATCGACGGCGAGATGGACGCCGACGGCGGGACGCCTACGACGGGATTGCATACGGGAAGCAACGGGAAGCCGACGCCGAGATCGCAGACGTGGCTTCGATGGGAACTGTTATAGGGTTGGGAGGAGTACAAAATTACGGAAATGAATTTTTGAAAGTGAGGGTTTCTACCCTTTTTAATTCTAATCATTAATATAATAATATCATTAAATTTTTATTATATTCCAGTCTTATCCTTGTAGGTAGTTAGCTAATGATTACTAATGTTTCTCTCTCTCCTTCTCCTATTGGCTGGAATAGGTTTAAGTCCTCCTTAAGAAAGGGGGTTTAAGGACCTGATCTGACCCGTATCCTTCTAATATTAAAACTTATCTTTCTATCTAATTTTTTGTTAAGTGGCCGTTAAAGATACTGAAAATGACCCAATTACCCCTTCCTTACTCCTAATTTCAGTTTATATTATCTTATTTACTAATCCTTATTTATATTCCAAATCAATCAATTAAGAGGATAAACCCCTAAACAATTCACTGGCAGTAAGAAACCGTCTGTCTCCCTGGCAGTTCGTCCTTGAGTCGGTGACGCCTGCTCCTGGTTGTTCCTTGCCGACGGCTGGAACAGAGTCTGCCACATGTACTGACAGAAGAGGAAAGTTGTGGAAGTCTTCCGTTCACGGGAGAACTCTATAATCGATCGCAGTGGTTGTATCTTCACTTGGGGAAGAGATCGATTTGCCACCATCGAGGCCTGTTCCAGTCGGCGTCGATGACAATCTAACGGAAGTTGCCTAAGTCGAGTCACCAACTTTCAATCGGGCGTCGTTGTTGTCTTGCGCCTATCTAGGGCTCTATTGCCTGCCGGTTAGCGAAACTTTTCCGGTAGTACGAATCGCTATGCTTCGCTTCTTTCTATATGATAATATGCACTGGAGGCCACAGTAGAAGCTGCAGCTGAGCAAAAAAGTGAATAAACACAGGATTAACATATAGAGTCGATGGATACAATGCGTACATTATGAAAAAATGTAGCATAGGCATTCTGGCATAAAGCGAACATTTGCAGCTTCACCCCAAATAAAAAGATACTCCGACGTTCTGTCGCCAGTAGGCCAAAAGGATGACGCCCCTTCGCCAGTCAGGATGAAAAAATAAAGCCAAAAGCCAAGTCTTCTTAGACATGTGCCTAAGGAGAAAGCCTTTGCAACCGAAGTGAGCCGAGGAGCCGAGTGACGTGTCAGCGCTACTAATTGAGTGCCAGCACGTAGCTGTGCTGTCAGTAAGAAGGGAGCCGGCGCCTTTCGGGAGCTTTGCTTTCCCTTGAATGCCCGACTGATGAACAAACAGCCAATGCCCGACTGATGAACAAACGGGGAAGAGTTCTCTTCAAGCTAGAAGTGCTATCAATTAGCCAAAATTCTCTTAAATTATTTTGGGTTCGCACGTCTCTGCTAGGAGGAATTTTACAATGCTATATAGCATTGGTGCTATAGGTTTTTACCTTTATGGTACAACTTGAAATTGTACCTTTAATGTTATGGTACAACTTCAGATTGTACCTATACTTTTTGTACAAATTCTTTTATGGTACAACTTAAACTTGTACCTTATGTGATGGTACAACTTCAAGTTGTAAAATTGTACCATAACATAAAGATACAAATTTCTTTATGGTACAACCTAAACTTATACATTTAATGTTATGGTACAACTTCAAGTTGTACATTAAAGCACCAATACTATATAGCATAGTATAAGTGCTACTCTGCTAGTCGGATTTCTCTGGTTCTTAACGGCTTGATTTGGGAATAGTAGAGGAAATAGAAGTTCTGTCGGGTGAGTACGATTTTTAGCTTTTGGGTTACTTTACTTAATTGTTTTGTTTGGCAATAAATAAATAATTAATTAAATAATTAAAATTGAAATTAGGAGTAAAGTAGGGGCAATTGGGTCATTTTCCAGCCTTTTTAACGGCCACTTAACAGGAAATTAGACCAAAGGGTAAACTTGTTACATTTTAATATTAGAAAGATACGTTTGTGCAAAAATTTAGTAGAGGGGTACGTTTATTAATTTACAATAGTAGAGGGGTATAATATGCTATTAACCCTTATTTATAAGACTTCCAGTTATGTTTTCGTTAGATTTCTCTCTTCTTCCCTAACAACATTAATAGATCTAATGTTTAAATTAAGTGAAGGATTATTTAATTAATTATAGAGATAGTTCTCACATCCTGATAAAAAAAATTACTTTATTGTCCTTTCCTTTTTTTATCTACAATTCATCCTTGCGTAACTATCTATTTCGCCATTATTGTAAAAATCAAACTGGATCAACAGATATACCAGTAGAACTTCCAAATCATTCCAATAGTATTTCGATCCATTTGTTTGGACGGTTCAGACAGACGGAATGATTTCTAACGGTTGGACATGAACCATATGAACTAGCCTAGTTATTAATGGTACATTTCTCTCTCATTCACAATTTTCTTTATATATTTTTTTTTCAAAACCTTAACTTGCCCATTTTCTCATTCTTTGTACATGTGGAATGTATATAATCAATATTTAGAGTGTACAAATTAATACAAAAAATAAAAATTTACTATGTAAAATCATAATGTGGTAGTGTGGCACGCCCCTCCGATTAGAGCGATTGGGCAGTTTAGGATGCACTCGAATAGGGGGTCCTAACTATAATTGATCTTCTAATGGTATATGGAACTTGCAAATCATGCTAGAGTATCACAATCTCATCTCAACACGGGACTAGGGGGATAATCATCCAAGTGGAGTCTTCTTATTTGAATTTAATCTCGTTTTAGTAGTTTGTTAGTTTTAAACAACGTTCCTATCGCTAGATAACTTGTGATTTACTGAAGTAATGGGTAAACGAACTACCTAGGTTGATAATTGAAAATATATTTGACCAATACTACACTCGTAAAGTTGCTAGAATACAATTAACCTCTGGATTTGAAATCACTCCTTATATACCTGGTATTGGCCATAGGAACTTGGCCTATGGTGGGAGTGTATAATAGGTCGTGGGTCAGGTGGAAATTTAGAATA